CGTTTATTAAGAGTTATAGCTAGATGTCTAAGATTCCAACTTCTTTTAAAACCAACATTAGAACGTACTGAACTCCTTCGACTGCGATTAACTTCTGACGAAATAAATCAAGCGTTTCTCGCATGCGTTTATCTTAGTCAGAACTGTAGTTTTGAAAAGGAATTGGAAAGCTTACGAAAAGGGAATCTGCCGCGACAAAGTCCTCTTTTGCCATTAAACCCTTTTATCGATCAAAAGGGGATATTGAGAGTTGGCGGCCAACTCACAAATTCTTCTTTGCCTTATGACCATCGTCATCCGGTTATCTTGCACGGCAACAGCCCACTAGCAGAATTAATAATCCAATGGGCTCATAAGACAGCCTTGCACGGTGGATTCCAATTAACTTACTCGCTCACTGTTAAGCGAGCATGGATCATTCGCGGCCGAGTACGAGTCAAAGCTCACATACGAAAATGTGTGACATGTGCCCGGCAAAGAGCTCAGCGATCCGAGCAGCTAATGGGAAATCTTCCTTCTGAAAGAGTAACCGCCAGTTATCCCTTTGAAAAATTGGGCGTAGATTATACAGGTCCTTTCCCCATCAAACGGACTACCGGCAGAGGTGCTCGAACTACTAAAGGTTATGTAGCCTTGTTCGTATGTCTAAGCTCGAAAGCTGTGCACCTCGAAGTGGTTGGGGATCTTACTACACAATCATTTCTTGGTGCGCTCCAGCGTCTCATCGGCCGTCGTGGAACACCTTGTGAAATATGGAGTGACAATGCCACCACTTTTCACGGAGCCGATGCAGAACTTCGTTGGATGTTGCGTGACGCCAATGTCGATTGGAATGTTGTTGAAGACACATTAGCAAACCGAGGTATAAAATGGAAATTCATACCACCTTCAGCACCACACTTCGGCGGACTGTGGGAGGCCAACATCAAAACAGCAAAGTCACACCTGAAGAAGACTATTGGGACACGTCCTCTTACATATGAAGAGTTATCCACATTGGTTGTGGAAATTGAAGCGTGTATGAATACTCGCCCTTTGCTTCCAATCACTGGTGATCCTGAAGATATTGATGCTCTCACCCCGAATCACGCTTTACTTGGCAGAGCTCTGTATTCATTTCCTGAAGCATTAACCATAAATGAGAATTTGGACTACATTACTCGTTGGCGCCTAGTTAAGGCATTAAGGGACACTTTTTGGAATAGATGGTCTCGGGACTATATTCATACACTACAGCAAAGAAATAAATGGGCAGTTAAGAAACAAAATTAACAAACAAACGACTTAGTGCTAATTCTCGATTCCTCATTGCTCAAAAGGGGAAGTTGGCCTCTTGGTAGAATTATCAAAGTCTTTCCTGGCAGTGATGGGCTTGTTCGTTCTGCCTCTATCCGCACTGCATCTGGAATATACACTCGCCCCATTGCAAAACTATGCTTACTACCAACTACTATGTAAAAGAGTGCACTCTTATGCACATTTCCAATAATTGTATCAAGGCGGGCGGCGCATCATTATCTTCTTATTTCGTTTCTCAAACGAGGCGGGCGGTATGTTAATAATTTGACTATGTTTCCTTTCAACGAATTTAAAGTTTTGTTTCCTTTTCTACCTTCGCAATTTGAATTTGGCCGCCACTTCGTTTTCGCTTTACCCTCTCTCTCACCAGCGTCCCATACGCCCTTCCACAACTCACAAACGCCTTCACATTGCAAAAAAGGGAAGGGATGGCTTTGAACTACGACGTACCAGGCAGTTATAACTAATCATCAGAAGCAATAAGTCGAAGTGTTTGTTCTCCCGTTGCCGCTCTTTTCTTTTCAACGCCAAGTGGCAAGTAAGTACTTGTTTCAAATGTTAAACTTTGTCAGTAAAATATTGTAATTTTGAAGAAGAATAAAACTCACATTTTTTTGGTACTTTTATGAATTTTTGTCTTTCCTTGTCCACTCACAAAATTCATTTTAGTTTATTTTTTACTTTAACAAGGGTTATTTTGCAATTTTAACCCTAACAAAAGGGTTATTATGCAATTTTAAGGAATTTTTTTGTAATTCGTTCTTTCATTTCTAAAACATTTTCGCAATTCAATTGTTATTATTTATTTTTTCTTGTGTAGGCGATGTTATTAATTCATTATTATTTTTATTTAATATATAATTTTTTTCATTTGGCGCAGCCGTTACTATTCAACGCAGCCAATCTACAATTTTTGTTATTGATGAAGCATATTTTATATACCTACATTCTTTTTTGGAGTTTTATTTTTTCTCCTTTTATATGCAATTTAATTTAGTATAATATTATTTATATAATTTTTTCATATGGCGCAGCCGTCAAAATTCTTAAAGATACAATTTCATAAAATAGTTTTGGAGAGAATATCTTCTTTCTGTTATTTAATAGAATTATTATAACATTTATAAAAATTATTAACAAATTTCTTAAAAATTTAAAATTTGAGGAAAAAAAATATATATAATGTAATATTAATTTAATAAATAAATTAAAGACATAGGGTCAGTTGGGGTAAATCGAAACAGTAGTTATTTCAATTAAATAAAAAATTTTAAAGTTCATACGGCCTTTAACATTGAACCTTAGTTCACCCCCAACAGGCACTAAGTATTCTCCCATTTTCCATTTGTCAATTACCAGCAGTATAAACGAAGATATTTCCTATTGCATAAGAAACTCTTGACTCGCATTTGGATAAAAATAAACTAAAAATTCATATTATTATTTATAATTGTCTCTTATTAATACTACAACAAAAATCGAAAATTTTGGATATGTATGCCTGTAAAATTATTCTTTTGAAAACTTACTCAAAACAATTTTTTTGATAAGTCCAGAAATATTAGGGAAAATGCGTTAATGTCAAATTTAAAATAACTCAAGTCAATCTTGGTCAAGATTATGACTATTCGTTGGCTCTAAATAATAAAATTGTCCAAATCAAGATAATTTTTATACAATATTAATAAAATATTAATTTAAACATAAATTATTTATAAATATAAACAAACTGCAATAAGTAAACAATAAAATGTATAAGTCTAACCGAGCGTCCGAGGTATGTATCGTTAGTTCTAAATTAAAATGTTAAAGTTAAGGGTATGTCCAACATGTGAAATGTAAACAAACCATCCACATTTTTCGCACTTCTCATTTAAATAGAAAATAAAAATTTGTAATTTCTTTTTGTGAAAATGGTAAATTGATACAGTAGACTAGGTAACTATACTTTATTTAACTAATTATATGAACAAATAAGTATAATTATAATGAAATGAAAAGTATACTGAATTAGCAATTATTTCAAGATTACGAAAAATTTAACTGTTGGAGTATATCTGATGTACGGACGAAGAGGACCTAGGCGGGAGAAAGTGTTGGAAGGGGTATAATTTCAGAATTTTACACTTTCCCACATGTAACCGACTAATCGCTCAACTCTTTCTTCCCCCTTACAGGGGTTCTACATGGGAACGAAATCGCAAAGTCGTTGCGAGCATCGTACCCCTCCATCCCATCTACTCTGTACACTCCCCTCCGTGATGTCAGGAGGGGAAAACGTTAGGTAGATGGCGCAGTAGGATTGCTGTTACAGCGGTTCACCCAAATGACTCTCTAATGGTTAGCACCAGGAAAAAGTGGGATGAATGTTGATCGCCGCCGCTTCGCGGCAATGGTGGCGCTGGATGTGCTTTCGGGCCGACTTTTAAATAAGTGAATGAAAATAACAATAATTTCATCTTTTCTTTTTTGTTAATCTATAATTGTGGTAGATTTTCTTTATGAATAAAAGGATAATTAAATATAAAATAATAAAAATAAAATATCTCGCATCAAGTACAAATTTATAAAGGAAGCAAATAATTTCACAAACTGGTATTAAAGTATATGTGCAAAAATTCAAAATAATAAATTATTTATTCAATATTTACTGTAGTTATAATTTATAATTATAATATTATATATTTTTATTATAAATAAATTAAAATTTTTATTTTTTTTATATATTAGATGAACATTGTCATAACAGATAATAAAATAATAATAAAATAATCCAAATAATAAAATACATCAGATACAATTTTTATACTTTTATGTTGAGTAAAACTTCGCTATTTTTCGAAAATCAGTGCTTTTTTTTTGTGATCTGCCACCTGAATTTTAGCATATTGCCGCATGCGATTTTGCAAGTAGTAATGAATTATGTATGCTAAGACTTCTTGAGCGTGATCAGCGCATGGAAAACTAAAAGTTTGTTGAAGAATTTCATCAACTACAACGTCATAAACATTACTTTTGTTAGAATTTTGAACAAAACTAAACTCAATCACTTGCAGGAAGTTATAAAGCCTGATATTAGGATGTTCGATTCTAATGCTATTTTCGTCTTCTTTTTCTCTTGTTACGAGTTGAGCAATGGGATGATTTGACATAAATGTTTTTTCTGACGATTCTAAAAATCCAGTTCGGCAGGTTTCACATTTCACAAATTTTATGAAATTTTTACAAATGCTTCCTGTAACAAAGTAAATAAGGCACTCTGTTACATAGGGAAGGTCATAATCGTGATCCAAAGCGTTCGTAAAATCAGTAAAATCGTTATCGTTTTGCTCAATGACAATATTTAATTTTGTTTTAATATTTTCGATAAAAGATGGTTTTTTCTCCGATTTGTAAATTTCCTTCAATTTTGACATTGAAATTAAAGGTTGACCAACATTTTCTGGCAAGGAACAATTTCCGGTTTTAGGTGGTTTTAAAATACTATAAAATGATAATATTTTATAAATTTGCAGGAAAGTTGGAGTCGCTGGGTGATCATTACAAGCTCCTGATAGTCGTACTGTTCCAAAAAACCTCTGTACAAAATAAATACATGAAAAATGTTTATTAAAAATTATAAATACAAAAATATTTGCCAATAATTAATCGCACGCGCTCTGAAAAGTTACAATAAATATAAATTTTCAAAATATGTTAATAATAAAATATAATTACATTATAATTAATTTATAAACAATTCGCAACTATTAAATTATTAAGTACTACTACCGCACTGCCACCACCATCACCACAATTATTATTATTATACGCCGCACTTTTTTCGCCTGCTTGCGCGCTCTGTATAAACTCCTTAATCTGATCAGTGAAAAATTTTTCGATTTCAATTATTGATCACTACCTCTTCGTGAGTTTTTGTGAAATTAATAAAATCAGTTAATTTTTCACTTCAGACTTAGAAAGTATCGCGCCAAAATACCTCCAAAGAATCCTGATTAATTCTGCCCGTAAAAACCATTTCTAATTTTTCTTCTTAAATCAAATATTTTATTAAATCTAAAGTAGATCGTAGAGTCATTCGTAATCCTACATCAGCGTCATTGGTGAGAAATTCTTCAGGTGCAATCAAACCCTGGTTAACCCTTTCCTTCCACGAATTTAGCCACATAAGAGAGTCTTCCAATACCTATTAACATCGTAAATAGTAAAATATAGCAAAATTAAATTAAATGAATAGCCTATTAGTTTGTTAATGCAAAAGTACATACACGTATGTCATTACAATTAGGTCGTATTGCTGTTTCGAAACTTGTTCGATTTAGTGCATCAAACATTCGGTCAAAAGTTTCACAAAACTGTGCAGTAGATTCACTATCCTTCAATTTGTCTTCTAATGTTTTATAATAACGTAAACCACGAGCAACGGATTTACTGAAAACCTGTATTAAGAAAATAAATACACTACCGTCCGAAATTGTGCGAACGCTTACACCGCGAGTCATTGAAAAACATACTCGCGTGAAAATAAAGATAACTCTGAGAGAAATTAACGTAGAGACTTTTCCCTTATAGCGTTGGAAAGCTTATTAAATTTCGAAAAAAATGATACCTATTTGAATGAGATTGCTTAAATAGGTTTAAATATATCATGTTACAAAGTTGAAAAAATAATTGTAATTTTTTGCTTATTTCCTACCTTGACTTTAACCTCTTGCATGGTCCAGGAAAATCGACGAAAAAAATTGTCATTTAACATAATTATTCCTTGAAATCTAAGCTTTCCATTGATTCCAAGAACAATAAAAAATGTTGACGGGTTTGCCAGTAATTGAAAAAAAGGACGAGCGTGCACGAAAAAAAATTCGACCGTCAATCGCTCGATTTTCCCGTCTCGCTGCCTCTTTCGTTCGTGCGCCAGGGCCGAAACAGAGAATTTTGATTAGGCGCTTTCCGGGCACCATTAATTTCATTATTTTTGCCTTTTTGTGAACATAAATTATTTGTATAACGCGAAAGATATCATAATTGTGTTATAAGATAATTATACAGTTATTAAAATTAAATAAATGTAATAAAACTTATATATTTCATTATTAAAATATTCAATTTGACCAACGAGGTTTTTGATTCTTAATAATAAATTGTTTAATGATTATAACTATATATTAATTCTTACAAAACTTTAATTGTATAATTATTTTATTATGAGTGATTAAAAAATTAATATCTTTATGTATGTGAAATATTTTAATAATGAAATATATAAGTTTTATTACATTTATTTAATTTTAATAACTGTATAATTATCTTATAACACAATTATGATATCTTTCGCGTTATACAAATAATTTATGTTCACAAAAAGGCAAAAATAATGAAATTAATGGTGCCCGGAAAGCGCCTAATCAAAATTCTCTGTTTCGGCCCTGGCGCACGAACGAAAGAGGCAGCGAGACGGGAAAATCGAGCGATTGACGGTCGAATTTTTTTTCGTGCACGCTCGTCCTTTTTTTCAATTACTGGCAAACCCGTCAACATTTTTTATTGTTCTTGGAATCAATGGAAAGCTTAGATTTCAAGGAATAATTATGTTAAATGACAATTTTTTTCGTCGATTTTCCTGGACCATGCAAGAGGTTAAAGTCAAGGTAGGAAATAAGCAAAAAATTACAATTATTTTTTCAACTTTGTAACATGATATATTTAAACCTATTTAAGCAATCTCATTCAAATAGGTATCATTTTTTTCGAAATTTAATAAGCTTTCCAACGCTATAAGGGAAAAGTCTCTACGTTAATTTCTCTCAGAGTTATCTTTATTTTCACGCGAGTATGTTTTTCAATGACTCGCGGTGTAAGCGTTCGCACAATTTCGGACGGTAGTGTATATTAAAAATAATATTTATTTTTAATTTTAATCTATGTATTAATTTAATTATATTCTTTTAAAGAAAATATTAATTATTTTTTAAGTTTCTGAAGAGGACGATTGTGTCGTTCAAACGTAAAAAATAGTTTTTTATTTTTGACTTGGAATAATCGATATAATCAATTTTATTATTATATCAAGAATAAATTTTAAAAAATTATAAATTTTTAGGTAAAGTAAAATTATTAGACATGCTATACATTTTTAAGATTATTAAAAAATTTTATTTAACATCAGCTTCATGAACAAGTTAGGTTTATATTTGTACTTAATATGAAGACAATGAAATTTATTGAATAAACGTACCTGCACCGCAAGAGAAACACGCATTTTAGAATATTTATCGCCCGTGATATTTACGTGTGCATCTGTTAGTTTCGGACAAATTCTTTCTCCGGCAGGTAAAAGTTTATCTGTATCGTGTAAAATTTTAATATGACTCCACATAATTGGACTTTCATCTGGATAAACCTAAAATTAGAAATTGATTAATATTTTAACACAATATTTAAATCGATAATTTTATAAAAGAATACAAATTTTGTCCCCTCTGCTAAGTTCTTACTCGTAATTGTCCACAGTTTACTAGACGATTTCTTATCGTCTTTATTAAGTGAGGAGCATCCGAGAATAGAAACACTTTGCGTTGTTCTACTGTGGGATGTCGAAACCAATTTTTAAATTCTTGGTCCAGTTTACCACTGCAACCCATCTCGGACCACATCTTCCTATTTGGTTTTCCCCCATCAGCAACAATCCCATGAATTTTTGCGCCTGCTTTTTCTAAAAATATTGTGGCTCTAATTAATAATTTTGCTAAGACGTCTCCACGGGTTGGTCCTTTCGAAGCAAACACTGCCACAGGTTGCGAGTAATTATCATATAAAGGCTGATACATTATGACGAGACCGTGATCAGACATTTCAGGTTCACCTTCCTTTGGAGTATCTTGAATATCCCCAAAATCTTGAATACCTTTAAAAGTCATTGTTTTTTGATCCAAAAGCAAGCTTTTCCGGGTAGACATTTCGTCTACAAGAATTAATCCATGTAATTGGTTCGATGTTTTTCCGTCGAAATGACTCTTTAAAATTTCGAAAAATCTGGGATCAAAACCACACGGGCAGTCTATTTGAGAAAGATACCTGTAAATATTAGTATAATAAATTTTTTCCTGTGAATATAATATATCGTCTTACATATAAAACATTTTAATCAATTCAAAATTTATAAACATTATTTTTAATGTTTCCAATTTAATTATACTTTAAACATAATAGTAATTATATAATTTATATAAATTATTTTAATATTGTATTTTTAATTATTTAAGCAAGGTACCTCCGAATTGTTCTGACGCAGGGTACAGATAAGATTTTATTATCGTAAATCATTCTGTACGTTACAGGTGACCGCATGTGTAGTAGGAGGCAGAGAATGATCCAGTCATCTGAATACCTTCGACCTTTTGCACTTTTAACTTTGGATGCTTTTAAAATTTCCTTAATAGCTAACTGTTCATTCGGGCTAATATTTGAATTTTCAGATAACATTTTATCCACGCAATCGTCAGAAGTTTTACTTAATTTTTCTTGTGATTCTTTTACCGTTGCTTTTAATAGTCGAATAGTAGCTTGAGCTCTTTCCTTCACTCGACCCGTATTTTTAACTATTTTTTTTATTTTTTCAAGTTGCGCTCGTTTTTTCGGACTCAAGTCTTTTGAAAGAAAATATTTCGAGTTCCTGTTCCTTTGACGACGAATAATTTTAGTATTCAACACATGTCCAACATTTTTACAATAATTGCATTGATTGTGACGACCTTTCAGCTTTAAACCTTCTTGTAGTATGATAGGACAGCATTTATTCCTTAAGATATTGATACCATCAATAAACGTAAACGACTGCAAAAGACTGGCATTAATGACATTATTTTCTATATTGAAGCTACCTTGACAAATTTGACATTTATCCACTGTTTCGAGGACATGTGATAAATTTTCTACGCTTTCAAATTTATTACTTGAAAAACCAAAATTAACATTTTCCATGTGTCTCCCATTAATATAAATGAAAATATTCATATCTTCGTCAAGAGTAACTGTTTTATGACAGCCAGAATGAATCTGCCCATTTTTTTCTTTAATTCCGATTAATTTTACGAAACTAATTCCATTTTCGTGATTACAAGTGATATTTGATCGAAGCCATCCACAAGGCAGGACTACACTTTTTTCATCTTCAGCTATTTGCTGAAACAAAGTCTTATTCTCCTCAGGCAACACTTCGTCTTCATCGACATTAATTGTCGCATCACTCGCATCAACGGCACTTTTTTCCGAAACTTCTTCTCTTATTTTATCTTCAGAAATTTTTATTGTTTTACTGCCTATCGGTTCATCAACAATATTCCTATCTCGAGTACGTTTCAGAAATAATGACCTTGGTTTCGCTTCAGGTTTTTCCTTTCGTCCTAAGTTCAAACTTGGTAAAGCATCTTTTTTTAATTCTGGTTTTTTCAGCACAGTCTACAAAATTTTTAAAATATAATTGCTTAGGAATCGAAAATATGTATATAGTGAAAACATAAATTTTAAAAAAATTTATTTTAATAACAAATTTATTTTTAAAATTAATTTTAAAGTATAGTATGATGTACTAATGAAATATATTTTTAATGTAAAGTAAACATTTTATGTAAAATTATAAAATTTAAAACAATGTACCTGTTTACATAATTAATTATTACCCTTTTTCGAAATTTTTTTTGGTAATTAATTTTTAAAAAATAAACGTACAAAGTTTGTAAATTATTTAAATAATATCGATAATTATAAATATAATAAATAACGTACTTTGCCTATGACAGTTCCGTCAGAACTTGTTATCGGTCTTTCAAAAATAAAATCAGTCTTGCGAAAATGTTTTTCGCATACTGCGTCTCCTGCTTTCAAAGTGATATCGTCACGTAAAATTGCAATTTGCCACTTTTTAATTGTTTTTTCGTCCTTAGGTACGTAATAGAAAAAGACTTTTTCGACAGAATTTTTTTTCCTTTTATAACCTGACACATAACCCACTGCCACACACTTCACCATTACGTTAAACAATTTTAACAAATAATATTCTTTATAAATAAATAAATATTAAAAGAAAATTTATTAAAAAATTGTGTTAAACGTATTAATTAATTAATTCAACAATAATAAATTACAAAACAATTCTAAAATAACAACAATAACATTCAAATGCAGTAGAGAATAGACAAAAGTCAAGCCGAAAGGTAATCAGCGCTCCTATTTGGTACTAAAATTTCTGTTCAACATTTTACCTACTGTCAGATGGGGAGAGTCACCCGGGTGCAGCGGTTCTACATGAGAGCGAAATCACAGAGTCGTTGCGAGTCTAGTGCCCCCACCACTAATCTATGTTGGACGACAGCAGTGGTTCTCGGCACTGTGGAAGTTTGTTATAATTGATGACTAATATGTTTTTATAACTTGATTAGTTATTAGTAATTTTCTACTAATGATTGAAACAATTCAAAATAAACAAACGTATATGTTTATATTATGTTTTTAGTATATGTTTATTAGAATTGCAGTTACTATGAAACATAACCTAAAAAAATTAAAAATTTGTTCATTTGTAATATCAGGGTGTCTAACGGTCAGAGAATGTGAGGAAAAAGTCAGAAAAATTTCTATATATATTTTTTTGTCTTAAATAGGCACAAATAAGGTTAGGAAAATGTTATGAAATATCAGGGAGA